GGTTGCCCAATTCATAACAGTAGCAAAATTACAGTTATGAAGTAGCAACAAAAATAATTTTATGGTTGGGGGTCACCACAACATGAAGAACTGTCTTAATGGGTCGCGGCATTAGGAAGGTTGAAAACCACTGCTTTAAATAGTGATGCTGGAATCTGGATCAGGATGGCATTATCTGTTTGTAGCTTTTTTTTAATTAAAAGATCATCTTTGGGGGCGCTCTTAGAGCTTTTTTTTTAAATCTAAAATGGTTTAAATGATTGAGAGCTCTTACAGGTATTGTAACAATCCATAATTCAAGTAGATCAAGCATAATTGTACAATTGCTGCCACAATATCATTGTTTTTTAAGGATGCATAATCTTTTTTAATTAAGAGATCATTTTATTGGGGCTCTTACAGCTCTTATAACAATCCATACATCAATTGTATCAAGCATAGTTGTACATATGTTGTCATCATTTTCTAGACATTTACTTTCTATTGAGCCCTTGGTATCAGCTCCTTTTTCCCCCCGCCCTTGTTACCCTTTGATAAATTATAAATTATTATTATTTTCATATCTTACACCAACCACTGTCTCCCTTTCTCCACATTTTCTGTTGTTCGTCCTCCTGGAGCGGGTGTGTGTGGTTATGTGTCAGTCATTGCGATCAGTTTCCCCTTCCTCCCCACCTTCCCCCTATGCTTCTGGTATCGCTACTCCCATTCCTGTTCCTGGATTCCATGTGTCATGAGCTCCTATCTCTTATCTGTACCTGTGCACATGCTCCGGTCTAGTCTGCAGTGAAAGGCAGTAGTTGGGGTGAGGAAGCTCAAGGAACCAGAGGAATATTATGTGTTTCATCGGTGTTTTACTGCGCCCTGGTTGACTCATCCTTTCCCTGTGAGCCCTCTGTGAGGGGATGTCCCATTGTCTACAGGTGGGCTTTGGGTATCTGCTCCGACCCCCCTTGTTCTCAACAGTTTGGGGTCTTCTGATGCCTGTTACCCGGTCCTGAGAACACCTCATGATTGCACAGGCTGGTGTGCTTCTTCCCTTTGGGCTTGTTGCTTCTCTGCTCGATGGCCACTTGTTTAACTTAAAGCCTTTAATACCCCAGACACTATATCTTTTGATAGCTGGGCACCATCAGCTTTCTTCACCACATTTGCTATTGTCTTCAGCATTTTATCTTCAGAGATTATGCCGGGAGGGTGAGCATCACAGAATGCCAGTTTGCTAGAACAAAGTGTTCTTGCATTGAGGGAGGGTATGAGCAGAGGCCCGAAGTCCATCCATTACCTCAGTGGATTGCCATATAAATATATGTACCTATGCCAACACCTCTATTTTTGTGAATTAATGTATTCATATATGTACACACCTATGCTTATACTTCTATCCATAGCTTTGCTTCCTAGATCATTCCTGTTTCCTTTTACCTTCCTCCTTCCCCACCATTATGCTCACCCTACTTTCTTCCGCCTCTTAGTAATTACTCTCCCCTAGATTGCTGTTGCTCCAACACCCTCAGGATCTTGTGTATCTTTTGATGTTATTGACAATTTTACAATCTCAGTCCTCTTATCCAGGAACATGGTCTATTACTACATTTATGTAGATATCTTTTAGTTTCTTGTAGTAGTGTCTTGTCATTTTTTGTATAGGTCTTTTGTTTATCAGGTCAGATTTATTCCTCGGTATTTCATCTTTTAGGTGGCTATTATAAATGGGGATCATTTTCTCAATTTCCTTGTAAGAGCTTTCTTTGTTAGCGTAAAGAAATTTGACTGATTTTTGTATTTTGATCTTGTACACTGCCACTTTGCTGAATCTTTCAATTTGTTCCAAAAATTATCTTGCCTAGTCTTGAGGTTTTTTTTGTGTATATGACCATATTATCTGCAAATAGAGTTTTGTTTTTCCTTTGCCAATTTGGATATCTTTGATTTTCCTTTGTGCTTGATAGCTCTAGCTAAAATTTCCAGCACAATATTGAATAGGAATGGTGATAAAGGACATCCTTGTGTGGTTTCCATTTGCAAGGAGAATGTTTTTATTTCTCTTCATTGAGAGTAGTGTTGGCTATTTGTTTTGTATGTATGGCACTCTGAATTTGGACATGGAGCCTCATAGACAAAATAAAGTCCTGTTTTTAAAACCCCACCCTATTTTGCTAATTCTACTATAATAGCACTGGATAACTCAGACAGTCAAGTTTGGGGATTTATTTTTTTCCATGCAATTCTTTTCTAGTATATTCTTGAATCTCTTTAAGAATTTATAGTAGTTTTCAAATTCAATTTTTCCTATATTCTGCTTCAGTGTGTGAGCCATCTGAAATAATCACAGAGCTATTCTTAGACCTACCCCTGTAAGAATTCCTTTAGCTCCTTTTTCAGTGGTGAGAATTAAGGGAAGCAGTTTTCCTTCAAGAGGTTAGCTATGAAGGGGACGATAGTTCTCATTGAAGGGGGTAAGGTCTCTTTATGTTCCTGAGAACTTATGTTAGGCATGATTGGGAAGTTAAAATTATTTTTGTAGCTAAAGGAAGCACTAGTTTAAATAAGGCATAAGTTTGAATAAGGCATGCCCCTTTGGAGGCAGTGGCATGAACAGAATCAATAGGAGAGGGTAGATCTTGCCCCATATGCTGAGGGCTCTGCTTATCCAGATGTGACTCCTCCAGATCACTTTTTCAAGTTGCCGGTTTCTTTACCCCAGCAGAAAGTTAAAGGGGAGAGAAAAATCATAAGTATACCTCAGATAGTTCCCTTTATAGAATTCTCTTAAGAAATGTTTTATTTTCTTTGAAATAATGCTCTAGATATTATATCTAATATTTCCCCTGACACTCTAGTTGCTGTTTCTACAACTCTGTTTTATGGTGGACTTAGACTGACATAGGATCTGAGCCCTCTTTATATTTCCAGTTTGGCTCAGGCATTGACTAATAGATGATGATTTCTTTCTCTCTCTTTTTTTTTGGGGTAGAAAATAAAAAGCCAGGCAAAGACTGCAAGAAGGTAAGTTGGCTTTAGGTAAGGTGTGCCCATTGTTTGGGGAAAGGTCAAAAATTGATTTCTTCTACTGGGAGAGGCCCATAAAAACAAGTAGATGTTGGGTGGCTGGACAGAATGCCACATTGGAATCAGAGATTCTAAATTTTCCCTTTAGTCTGGGTGGCTACAGCAGCATCTATTTCCTACTATGAGTCTGAGTTAGTTAATTGTGCCAACCTGGCCGATAATCACATGTGGGGCTAATTGAAAGGCAGAGGGATAAATGGGTGGTGAGCCTCGCCTTTCTAGTTCTCGGGTCTCTTGCTTTGTGATGGTCGCACCAGGGTGCAGCTGCCTTAGTAGTTCCCTGCTTCAACTTGCAAGATTGACTTCCTACAAGACATCCCCAAGGAGAAGCCACATGGACCTATCCCGATGCAGCCCTGGGTGCTGGAGCAGCCGTGTGGAGACCCCTGCTAGTGCTGAGATGCTTATTCGTTCACTGACTCAGCTTTCCTCCTGCAGTTGGCATCATTGCCTCTGTTTTGTGAGGTGGAGGACTTTGTGGACTGGTGTTGGGTTAATGGGTTAATGTTGGATTTGTGGGCTTGGGCAGCATTGGGTTGGGATGTTTTCGTGATGCACACTTTCTTTACATAAAACTCTCTTATACATGAGTTGCTGTGGATTTGTTTCTCTAAAGTACTTAGACTAATACAGAGTCATATACTGCTTTGTGCTTGATTTACCTTGGTAGGGTTTATTCTCATTCCTTTATTTTGGACTGGATTCCTTGGATGGCGCAAATTATTATACTAGCTGAAAGTTGGAATTTAAAGCCGCCTAGATGTACTTTGGAAGACAGGCCTGGTGATTTCCTTCTGAAGGGACAGAACCTTGAAAATCTTATGGAGCACAATTCTCATCTGCCCACATGGGGTTGCCATGAGTTAAAATTCACTCACGACAGATAACAATAACATATATTAGTTGAAGAGATAGCCTCAGAAGGAGAAACATTCAGTTTCAGGTAAAACAGCTGATAAGAAGTCTATCTGGTTCCCAAGTCCCTATTTCTCATGGGAAAGAGGGAGGCCAAAATATGACATTTCGCCCCCAATCCTGGATCTCTTGGTTATGCTGAAAAAATTGTGGGCAAATTAAAGTTGGACTAGAGCAGAGGTTGTTAAGTTTTAACTAGTCATTCAGACTAACTTGGAGGGATGGTTAAATAAAGAAGTTTTGTACTCCATTTCTGAGTTTCTAATTCAGGATCTCAGTCATGGTTTCTAAGAATTTGTATTTCTGACAAATTTCCAGGTGATGGTGCTGCTGGTGGTCTAAGGACCACACTTTGACAGCAGCTTGTTTGGACAGCCCTCAACCTTTACTTGGGGAACCTTCCCAACTGTCCCCTTCTTTCCTTACTTCACTATCCTAAAGTTTGCTAGTGGACCTTGTCTGGCTACAGGAGGGAAGGTCTCTCCAGGGTCGGATTACCTAATCTTTACAGTATTTTAAGTACTTGTGCTAAACGTAACATGTGAAACTGTTTACTACAGATTAGTAAATAAACACAAGTAAGGCTGTGCTTCAACTTGCTGACTGGGTAATTGGACGCTGGGTCGTTCCATTTAGGCTAGCATTTATAATAGCCATCCAGAAGATGAAATACTTAGGATTTTCCTCACAACCATACTTCTCTGAGGAACTTTAACTATGAGAGGGTAGGAGTAGTTTCCATTGATTTGTTAGCTCTACTCATTTTTTTTCCTTCTTTTGTGATGACTAGCCTGCAAAGGAGAATGGAAAGAAAGCATCCTGTAGAGCGTCCTCTGCTCCTCAGTGTGTTCATTTTAATGATCGTGCCAGCTGGAAGGCTGAGTTAAAGAAGAGGAGGGTAAGCCTTGAAGGAAAAAGAAGACCTGGCTTGTCAGGTCAGCAGAAGGGTTGACTCAAAGGGAAAAGTCCATGCTTGTTACTGTTGTTGAGGCTGGTTGTGGAAGTGGGAAAGAGAAGGAAGTCATCTTGATACTTGAGTATCAAGTGTCTATTTGTTCCCCCACTTCTCACTTCCAAGTCCATTGCTGTCTGGCTTGTGCTTCCACTACTCTACTGCAACTGCTCTTGCAAGTATGGCCAATCTATTCCCTGACATACCCATGGATAGTTTTCTTTGATTTTCTTACCCAAATTCTTACATTTGAGATCATGCTTCCCTTGAACCATTCTCACTTTGGTGTTCCTGGTATCTCACTCTACTGGATATATTCATTCCTTTGTAACCACAACCATTTTCATTTTCTTTTGCTGCTTTTTTCTCTTCCTGGTCCTTAAATGACATAATATTCCATGTCCTTGTCCTCTTACCCCCAGGTTTTTTTTTAATTAAAAGGTCATTTTATTGGGCGCTCTTACAACTCTTATTACAAATGTATGCACCAATTGTATCAGACATATTTGTATATATGCTGCCATCATTCGTTTCTCGACATTTACTTTCTATTGAGCCCTTGGAATCAGCTCCTCTCCCCTTCCCCTCCATTGCCCCCCGTTTTAAGTGAATGCCTCTGCCCAGAATGCATTCTCTCACAGCAACACACACACCTTTTTTTCTCAGCCACGCTTTTTCTTCTTTCATTTCTCTGTCTTTGCTTCTTCCTTAAACACTCTCTCTTAACCCTGCTGTCATTATCTTCTCTCTCCCAGTATACCTCCCATTTCTGCCATGTCACATTTTTTTTCTTCTCATTGCCACCTCTTCACTGTTACTGTTGGTGGTCCCAATGTGTTTTCTTTTTAGGTGGAAGAGATGAGAGAGAAGCAGCAGGCTGCCCGGGACCAAGAGAGACACAGACGTAGGACCATTGAGAGCTACTGTGAGGATGTCCTGAGACGCCAGGAGGAGTTTGAACGCAAGGTGGGAGAGAAGCCTTTGCCTCTGGGTGGGCCTGGCCTAACCTGGGTTTGTTCAGAAGCAACTCATGCCATTGCTCTGTGAAAAGAAAAGCGTGAATGTGAAACTGTTGGAGGGGAAGTTGAATCTGTGTAAGAGATGACAATGTTGGGGACAGAGGGAGGGAGGAGAGGAAGATAGAGGAGTAGGGGAAAATAAACAAAAATATAAGTGGGGAGAATTGAGAGACTGAGAAAGGGATGTGTTTGTAGGGAGTGCCATTTTCTATTGAGAGTTTATTATTTCTTTGTCATGTATTCTCATTTCACACACAGAATACTTACTTTCTAAATCATACTTTATTTTCTGATATGTAGTATACATTTTGCTTCCCCTATCCCTTGTCCCTTTTGATAATTTTTCTCAGACCTCTTTCTCACATTCCTCCCATTTACACCCATGTGTACACAGTGGCTCCTAACAGTTATTCTCTGCCCAAGCACATACATACATATAGGCATAAGCTCTCCAGTTTTCAACTTTCCGGCTTTGTTGGCTAGTCAGAACTACTTTTGACTTGGCTGAGATTTTCATGGCTTCCCAAAGCCATGGATCTTTAGATCTTTTGTCCTCCTAGATCACTTTCTTTTTCTCCTTTAGGAGGAAGCTTTGCAGGAATTAAATATGTTTCCACAGCTGGATGATGAAGCCACAAGAAAGGCTTACTATAAGGAATTTCATAAGGTATGGAGGTACAAATGCGCTTTACACAATTGATGTGTGTATGGATTGCGATAACAGTTGTATGAGCACCTAATAAAATGTTTTTTAAAAAAAGAAAGCAACTATAAAGTAAAACAGATACTCCTCCCTCACTATCATGATCCCAATTCTACCTTACAAATCTGGCTAGATCCGAGGATGTACACTGGTATAGATAGGAACTGGAAACACAGGGAATCCAGAGCAGATGATCCCTTCAGGATCAGTGGTGTGAGTGGTGATACTGGGAGGGTGGAGGGAGGGTGGGTTGGAAAGGGGGAACCGATTACAAGGATCTTCATGTGACCTCCTCCCTGGGGGATGGACAACAGAAAAGTGGGTGAAGGGAGACGTCAGACAGGACAAGATACGACAAAATAATAATTTATAAATTATCAAGGGTTCATGAGGTGTGGGGTGGGAAGGGAGGGGAAAATGAGGAGCTGATGCCAGGGGCTTAGGTTGAGAGCAAATGTTTTGAGAATGATGAGGACAATGAATGTACAAATGTGCTTTACACAATTGATATATGTATGGATTGTGATAAGAGCTGTATGTGCCCCAAAAAACAATTAAAAAAAAGAAACAAAAAGAAAAACAGAAATATACTCCAATAAAATAAGTCATAGACAACAACAACAACAAAAAAAATCTTTTAGGGAGGGTAACAACTCAGGTACATCTCTCTTTTTGTTTTTCCCAACTGAAATGGAGACTTTTTCTTTTATGGGCCTGCATGACTATTACTCAGTCCTCTGATTTTCATCACTTCTGTTCTCTGCCCTGTAGGTGGTGGAATACTCAGATGTGATTCTGGAAGTCTTGGATGTCAGAGACCCATTGGGATGTCGCTGCTTCCAAATGGAGCAAGCTGTTCTACAGGCAGAAGGCAACAAAAAGCTGGTCTTGGTCTTGAACAAAATTGGTGGGTGTTGGGCAGGATTAAGTAAGGCAGGGAAAGGTCCAGACTTTATTGAAAGACTAGCCTGAGATCAGGTATTATTGAAAGACTAGCTTGGGACCAGATAACAAGACCCAGCAACTCAGTGGTATTCATAACAGTCAGTAATGTAGGAATTCTTGTTCCAGTTTTCAAAGCCAAAAATAAGATTAATGAAGTGACTTGTCCAAACACACACACATACACACAGAAACATTGGAGTGAATTCTACATATTTCTGACTCTTAGTCCCCTGTTCCTGCCATTTTGAGTCTTAGCTATGGCTGGATAACCCTGGCAGCTCCTCTCCCACAAGCTGGAGCCCAAAGACAGGATTGAGAACAGAGGTGGAAGTGGGAGCAGCAAGAGGTACCACTAATCCTGCAGCCTTTGAGGTTAAGCATTCCACAGGTCTGGGTTTCATCCCAGGAGTGCTACCTATTTTCTCTAGTGTCTTGGGCAAGTCATGTCACCTCTGAGAGCTTCAGTAAAATGGGTAGTGCTTGTCCCAACTTTATAGGATTGTTAGTGATAAAGGATGATAAAGTGCTTGGTGGTGGTGGTGATGGTCATTGTCGTCATCGTTGTCATCTTGTTAAAAGTTCCATCTAGGCTATTCCAACTTATAGATGGTGGTGGTAGGTGCCATCAAGTCTGTTGCGAGTTATAGCGACCCTATGTACAACAGAATGAAACACTGCCCAGTCCTGCATCATCATCATAATTGTTCCTATGTTCCAACCCATTGTTGAAGCCACGATGTCAATTCACTTTTGCAGAGAACCTTCCTCGTTTGTCCTGCCCCTCCACTTTCCCAAGCATCATGTCCTCTAGGGACTGGCCCCTTCTGACATATCCAAAGTATGTGAGACGAAGTCTCATCATCCTTGCCTTTCAGGAGCAACCTGGCTGTACTTCCAAACTATTTGTTCTTTTGGCAATCCATGATTCTTTTGATATTTTTCACCAGCACGATAGTTCAAATGCATTCTTCTTCAGTCTTCCTTATTCGATGTCTAATTTTCACAAGCAACTTTCACAAGCAATTGAAAATACCATGGCTTGGGTCAGGCGCAACTTAGTCTTCAAAGAAACATCCTTGCTTTTCAATACTTTAAAGAGGTCTTGTGCAGCAGATTTATCTAATGCAATACATCTTTTGATCTCTTGACTGCTGCTTCTATGAGCATTTATTGTGGATCCAAACAAGATGAAATCTTGGACAACTTCAATCTTTTCTCCATTTATCATGATGTTACCTATTGGTTCAGTTGTGAGGATTTGGGTTCTTTACTTTGAGTTGTAATCCACACTGAAGGCTACAATCTTCGATCTTCATCAGCAAGTTCTTCAAGTCCTCTTTACTTTTAGAAACCAAGGTTGTGTCATCTGCATATCTCAGGTTGTTAATAAGCCTTCCTTGTTAATACATGCTCTATACATGGTCAGAATTTCATAAGTTATAACTATTCTTATCAGTGTTGTTCATGACATTTGGCCCAGTCTAAAATGATCCAGAGAGAAGATAAGAAAGGGCAATCTTTTGGAGGCCTCTGTCACCCCGAGCAAACTGGATTAGAAGGAGGCAACTGTGACCAAATAGCTAGTTTACCCATTCTCTCAATGGGAATAGGCCCACTTTGGGTGGGCCATCTGCTCCCATAGATCAGATTTCCCTTTCTAACTCCAGGCTGGAGATTGGAGAACGATGGAAGGATCTAGCAGAAATACCTGTTAGTAGGATGTGTGCCTAACCTTGGTCGTAGGTGGAAACATATTTGGAGTGAGCCTTCAAGATGATGTTCTTATTAGCCTGTTTTCCCCAGATTTGGTTCCCAAGGAGGTTGTGGAGAAGTGGCTGGATTACCTTCGTAATGAACTGCCAACTGTGGCTTTCAAGGCCAGTACCCAGCATCAAATAAAAAATCTGGTAAGCCTAGCAATAACCACCACTGTTATTTTTGGTTGTATCTCCTAAACTTTTTTCTGTGCTATATGTTTACATAGATAGTGACACACAGCTATGAGGTTTTAAAAAGTTTGTAGAATAATTCTATTATTTTTCCATGAACTTTTTGAAGTCCCTTTTAAGGATATACTATTTAACTTGTTTTTTGTTTATGCATATTTAAGTTAATTCCAATTTTTTATATTTAAACTGTTGTGGTAAGTAAGTAAAGGAAGAGGATGAGGAGAACATACATTTTAGGCAAGGAGGTGACATCAGGACTAAAAGCCATGCAGGCTGAAGTGACCTTACGAAATATCAGGGGAAAGTAGGCTGTGGGCCAGAAACCACTTCATCCCTCCATAGGCAGAGAAGATGGGCATCCCATTGTACAGAGGAGGGTGTTGAGGCCCAGGGCAGGAAAGCAGGATTTTCTGGGCATAGTTGCCCCTGCTGAGGGAGACAAGTAACAGTTCAAAAGAGACAGAGGTCTGAGAACATGAACAGACACAAAGTAAGCCTTGTTGGTCTTCAAGGGGAACAGGAAAATGGCAAGTTATTCAGGCTCTTGGTTAAGATGCTCTCTTTTTTAGGCTGAAAATATTGATGGCGGCAGGGGATGTCTGAGAATTCCAGAGGAAAGGAAGGACTCTGAAATCTGGGCTCATACCACATCTCTTATCTGATACATCTACAATACCTCTAATTTTCTAGAACCATTGCAGTGTGCCAGCGGAGCAGGCTTCGGAGTCACTGCTGAAAAGCAAGGCCTGTTTTGGAGCTGAAAATCTCATGAGGATTCTGGGGAACTATTGTCGCCTTGGCGAAGTGCGCACCCACATCCGTGTGGGGGTTGTGGGTAAGGCCTGTGGTTGGTCATGGATCCTAGGTGTCTTTCTCACATAGGGAGTTCATTGGGATAAAGAATCCTGGCACTTTTATTACCTTTTTGGGGAAGAGGGGAGTAGTTCAGGAAAGGTTTTGTGATTCGCAATTTGGGTTGGTAGATAGGACTACTAAGAATTGCCATCATGTATTGAATGTTAGTATCATAGATCAAATGCATGGGGCCAGGCTTAATTGTTGGCACTATTTCATCCAATTAAAGCTATGGGAGGGGGAGGTGAGCATCTCCCTTTTTCAGATGAGAACTATGAGGCCCAGAAAAGGAAAAAGAGACTTGTGAGACCCAGGCCCATGTGAGACAAAGCAGTGCTGAAATTCAAACTTGGGACTGTGGAACCCAGGGCAGTGAGAATGGGGGTCAGAAATTGAGATAAACAGAGCCACATCATCAGGAAACCAAGAGAGAAAGATGAGGGAGAAGTAGATACTGAGTAAAAAGGAACAAACACAGAGGAAGACAGAAAAAGTGCCAAATGGGAAGCCAAATGGTAGGGTTGTTGGGTAGTGGGAAAGGGAAACATTTAAATGGCATGTATGCAGAGAGAGGAAGATAGGATGAGGGGAAGGAAAAAAAAACCCTTGAAAGGACAGAGACATGTGCAGAGATGTGGAGGAAATTAGAAATACTCCATATGTACAGAGACAGCCATGCATACCTTACGAACTACAGAGAGATGCTACCACAGGGGCAGAATTAGAGAGATACGCATGGATAAATAAGGATGTAAACACACAGTAACATACTTATATACAGATACACTCATGGAGCTAGGTATACCCAGAAGAGGCAAATTTGGAGACACACATGGACAGATCTAGAGGTACAATGTATGCAAACCAAATCCTCATACATCTCCTATACCAACTCAGCTTCCCCATAGCACAGCAGTTCTGGGCACAGCAGGCCATTTGCCTAGGTATACTACAAACTTCAATCACATACCCAGAGTCACAGAGTCAAATACACAAACATGCGATTATAAAGAAATAGAGATTGATATATAGAGGGCACTAAGTAGGGGGAGAGAGAGAAAATGAGGAAAAAAGGATAGTGAGACATCTACAAAGACAAACAGAATACATACTGAGAGATAAGCCCATAGAGAGGAAGAAAATGTATAAAAAGAGAATAAGAATAATTAATGTATAGAAAGAGAATAAAAAATAATAAGAGTCATAATTGGTGGGGTAGGGGACTCACAGATAGTGGTCAGAATGAGAGACAAACCAGCAGAGAATGATTCCGAGGTACAGGTATACACAGAAAGACACACAGCCCTAAAGATAGGGTAGAGTGAAAACCTGATTAGGAGGGGGAGAAAAATAGTGATATTTAGAATGAGAATAACCAAGGGACAGCTGTAAGGATACTTTCATAAACAGGGTATGCACAGATCCATGTGAGACAGTGTACACATGTAAATTCTAGTATGTATCTTCCTCCAGTGACAGAACATAACTGGAGAAGCACATATACAGACCCGTAGGTCCTCCCAGATGCCTAGATAAACAGAAAAACATCACAGGCATACAGCTACATAGACCAGCATGTGGAGGTATGCTCAACCCCCACCCCTACACTCCCAAAATTTACTCCATTACAGAAAGTCTCTTCCACAAACATTTTTATTTCTGCTCACTGTCAGACCATATCACAGAGGCTTTGCCAATGAACACCTTTCCTACACTGGTTTTGGTGGTTTTGGTTGTCACAACTATAGAGAGGGACATATCTGCCCAACAATACACTCACAAATAGAGGAGAGATACAGAGAAACCATCTGGGGGCTTGGTCAGAGGCTGGGGTGGGAAGGCATGAGGCCAGATTGTGTTACTGGCTTCCCAGTGGTGTGGTCTGTTTTCCTACCTGGGCCTCACTCACACAACCTGTCCTGAATGTTACTGAGGTCCTTTCCTGTTTTGAGCTATCTGCTGTTACTTATTAGGCCTTCCTAATGTCGGGAAAAGCAGTCTGATCAATAGCCTGAAGCGCAGTCGTTCTTGCTGTGTGGGAGCTGTGCCAGGAGTCACCAAGTAAGCTCTTACCTGCTTCCCCTTTACAAAACTCCTTGTCCTATCATTCCCATAATACTCAAGTCTTCAGTCCCTGTCCCCTTCTTCAGCTTGGACTTAGCTCTTATCTTCCCCTGGGCATGGAAACTCTGTAACAGCCCTCATTTACCTGGTACACCCTTGGTGTGGGCTGTACACCCAGCCAGGTTCTGTCTTTATTAGCTCTGTGAAGCCTTCTGAGAACTGTGTAAGGTTGGGCTACTGATAAGTAGCCCCATTTCCTTGATGAACTAACTGAGGTTTGGAAAGTCAGGAGATTGTCCAGTGTCCTGTAGCTCAGTCCTCTTTGGGTAGATTTGAATCCGCCTCCATCTATAGAGCTTCAGAGTCCTTCGTCCTTAATATCTTTCCTTCCATCTATAACATACCCTCATCTCATTCTTTATCCATACTCCCTCCCCTCACTTAGGCCCAACCTGAGACTGGGGTCTACATGATACTGCGTTCCTTTCCTATCTCCTCTCTCCTATTCCAGGTTCATGCAGGAAGTCTACCTGGACAAGTTCATTAGGCTGCTAGATGCTCCAGGTATTGTTCCAGGACCCAACTCAGAGGTGGGCACCATCCTGCGAAACTGCATCCATATACAGAAGCTAGCAGACCCTGTGACCCCCGTGGAGACTATCCTGCAACACTGCAACCTGGAAGAGGTATTCGAGGCCCCTTGCTAGTGCCCTACTCTACATTAAAAGCCTTTCATTCTTCCTTATGACTTTTCTTTTTCCTCCCTTAACTAGATTTCCAACTATTATGGCATCTCTGGGTTCCAGACCACCGAACACTTTTTGATTGCTGTGGCCCATCGTTTAGGGAAAAAGAAGAAGGGGGGCATATACAGTCAGGAACAAGCAGCCAAAGCTGTCCTGGCTGATTGGGTGAGGTAAGGAGGGTGTTCAGGATAAGGTGAGGCACGCTGGATGCTAGGTACTACAAAGTGTCTCATGTGTGTTTATCGAAGTGTATAGGATAGCCTTACTTCCAAAGTTACAGCGCAAAGGAAGGCCAAAGCCCCAGGCCATGCCATGATTGGGTATTTATGTCCAATGATTATCTACCAACTCGACTTGGGAACCCATCTTATCCTTGAGGTCCATTTGTTCTCTTAATGACATCACCACAAATTTTCTCCCACCTCCCAATCTAGTGGGAAGATCAGCTTTTACACACTACCACCACCCACCCACACTTTGCCTACTCATCTCAGTGCTGAGATTGTTAAGAAGATGACGGAGATCTTTGACATTGAGGATACCGAACAGGCTAATGAAGACACTATGGAATGTAAGTGAGGATAGGTGGACTGTCATACCCAGAATTTTGTCTTGCCTTAGTCAGACATGATAACAGATTTCACATTTGCCCCCTCCCCCCTTCCATGGCTCTACTCTGGCTTTGGGCACATTGTTTAACCAGCTCTAAGGTTAATATTTTCTCTTGTAAGGTAAAGAATTCTACTCTGGATCAGGGGACAGTAGGGGAGAAGGGGTGAGATTCTCCCAGCTTAGACTAGTTAAGTGGTTGAAAGTATGGATTGCCTGCTTCTAAATCCAATCTTTGGTTTTTATTAGCTATATGATCCTAAACAATTTGATTACCATATATACTCGAGTATAAGCTGACCCAGTTATCAGCCGGGCACCTAATTTTACCACAAAAGCGGCATTAAAAATGTGCTGAAAAACTTGGCTTATACACGAGTATATATGGTAACTTCTCCATGTCTGAGTGATGTGACGTCTAGTGCAAGGATAACACCCACCTGATCAGGTTGTTTTGAAGATTCACTTCAAATACAGAACACACCTGACATAATAAATGCTCAGTAAATGTGAGCTGTTAATAACAAAGTGATTATTTTCTGGAATACAGAGGTGTGACTTCTAGAAACTCCTCTAGGAAGTATGTTTTTTCAGAAATGTTTGCTAGATGCTACCCTAACCATGGTTCCTTCTCTATCCAGTAGTTTAACTTCTCTTGGTCTGAGGATAAGAGGATTTGCCTGCTTCATAATTTATACCCCATGTGGCTTAGGGCAAGTCAGTTTCCTCTCTGAATTTTAGTTTTCTCCTCTATCAAACAAGCTTTGATAGGAATTCAAGCTCATGTTCTGATGATGATGCTTGATTCTCAGTAGTTGTGAAGGCAAGAGGGACTCCAATAGGGAGAATGCATTTTGGCCAATGATTGAAGCCTAAGAAGTCACAGAGAGTTTTGTGGTGAGGTTTTCTTGCAAGAGCTAACCCTAATGCTGGTTCTTGAAGGGAAAATAGGGATTAGGAAGCCCAAGAGAAGAGACAGTGGGCAGAGTTGAACATGAGGTTAGTGTGGGCTTAGGGCAAGAATATATCTGTGGGTTACTGTGGAGGACAGCTCCTGGCCAGAGGCCAGAGGTAGTGGGGAGGAAATCCCACTGGCTGCCATTGATAGAGCACCATGTCAGTTCAGCACTTTACTGGAATCCTTTGCTGTGACTCTCAGAGCAACCCTGTGTGATAGATCTATGGCAGTCAGATATTCCAGATGAAGCATGAGGCTCAGAGGACAGCTCCCAGCAGACAGGTAGAATGTGAGCCCTGGCTTGCTTGTGCAAAACTCATATTTTTAATCTTTTGTGGAATGTACCTCCATAGGAACAAAAGCTCTCTCCCCCTTGTCCTCTGGGCAATGTCTACATGTTCATTCTACTGAGGCCCTGATAGTAGTGTTGTTTGTGTTAAAGGTTTGGCCACTGGAGAATCTAATGAGCTGTTGGGTGATATGAACACACTCAAAATGGGGGTCAAGTGGTTCACTTCTCCAATGATGAAAATAGCAGATGCCATTGAAAATAAAACCACCGTGTATAAGGTACATTTCTCCTTTCTTCACGGCAACCTTCTCTACCCAGGGCTGTGGGAAGTGGTAAATCCCTTCTGCCTGGTTCACACAAGGTATTTCTATGATGGAGGTGAGATGTGGGTTTTTCATTTCCTGTGAGTTTCTTGCAGCATTCTTTACTAAAGCAGTGATAGGTCTAAGAAGGAGTCATTCTCTGTTAAGTAACTCTTCCAGCTGTGATTGCATCTCAGAAGATGTAGTAATATCTAGCTACTCAGCTGGGGATCCTTGACTCTTCCCCCTAACTAATAGCCAAGATTCTATATATAGTTCATCACTAAGTCCCTTGACTTATCCTTCTTAAATTTCTTGAGACGTTATCAGCTTTTTTTCTATCCCTCCCATTCCTATAACCCTAGCCTAAGCTGTCAGTCCTTTCCCCCCTGGACACATGGTCCATGGTTTTTAAAGGCCTATTCTGACCATGTCAGCTCCCCCTGTTTAAACTCCTTTCATGGTTCCTTAGCAACTATAAAAATATAGAAAGCACAGCATCATATAACTTCTGGAGTTAGTTTCAGCCTTTTCTGTCAGTTGGTCCACCTCTGTAGTTTACATTTTAGTGGGTTTTAGGTACAGACATCCACATTATAATGGGAGACATATAGGGTAACAGTAAAGAGATAGAGGTTGGAAAAGTATGGCTATAAGGGCCCCTAACTTGTAGTTGGAGCCCCTGGGGAGTGCAAATGGTTAACACACTTATCTGCTAACTGAAACTACTAGTTGAAGGTTTGAGTTCACCCTGATATGCCTCAGAAGAAAGGCATGACAATCTACTTCCAAAAGCTCATCCATTGAAATTCCTATGGCATATAGTTCTACTCTGACACACCATGAATCAGAATTAACTCAACAAATTTTTTTTGTTTTCAAAGTCATTTTATTGGGAGCTAATACAGATACCACATCAATCCATAGTTCAATCACATCAAGCAGTATTGTACAATAACTACCATAATTAGTTTTTTTTACTCATTTATTGGGGGCTTGTACAATTCCCATCACAATCCATACATATATCCATTGTGTCAAGCACATATGTACATTTGTTGCCATCATCATTCTCAAAACATTTG